GGTGAGAGCCCCGGGCCAGAGACTCGTCTCTCCGCCTCCCTGGGTGGCCTCAGTGAGAAGAATCCCTACCGCGACTCTGCCTACTTCTCAGACCTGGACACGGAGCCAGAGCCCCCCGTGGGCCCCAAGGAGAAGCAAGGAGGTGTCCCAGTCCCCGGGCCAGAGCCTGCCCTGGAGAGCCCGAAGAGCCCCAGGATGCCGTCTGCACTGCCCTCCCCTGAGTTGGGGATACTTGGGGAGGCACAGGGCTCTGGCCCCAGGGAGGTGCCGCCACTGCCACTGCCTGAGGACTCTTCCCCAGAGCCAAGCGCCTGCCCCAGGGGCCCCAGGCTGGCGCCTCCCTGGCCCCAAGACCCAGCCCAGGTGCCACCCATGCCCAGCCCCGGGCGCTCTAAGATTTTCCTGCTGCCGCCGGTCCGGCCCAGCTCAGAAAGCCACCGCCCCGAGCTCCAGGAGACCCTGGGACAGCTGTCAGGGTCGGGCCTGCAGGAACGGACAGGGGGCCCAGGTGCCCCCAGAACCCCACTCTGCCTGGCCCTGCCGGCAGTCCCCGCGGCTCCAGAGGGGCGGCCGGAGGAGGAAGAGGACGACAGCGAAGACAGTGATGAGTCGGACGAGGAGCTCCGCTGCTACAGCATCCAGGCGCCGAGCGAGGAGAGCGAGGAGGAGGCTCCGCCTGTGCCAGTGGTGGTGGCGGAGAGCCAGAGCGCGCGCAAGCTGCGCAGCCTGCTTAAGGTGCCCAGCCTGCTGTCTGAGGCCTTCTGCGAGGACCTGGAGCGCAAGAAGAAAGCCGTGTCCTTCTTCGACGACGTCACCGTCTACCTCTTCGACCAGGTGGGCGGCCGCCCTGGGTGGGCTCTGCGTGGGGAGTGGGGGTCTGCGGCGGGACGGGAAGCCGTGGGAGACTCGTGCTGTTCTGATCCTCCAGGAAAGCCCTACCCGGGAGCTCGGGGAGCCCTTCCCCGGCGCCAAGGAGTCGTCCCCCACGTTCCCGGCGGGCAGCCCGGGCTCCCCCAGCACCCCTGGCCGGCCTCGGCGGGCTGACCTCTCCCCCGACAGCCCCGCGGCCGAAGAGGGTGAGCTGGAGGCGGGGTGATGCGGCAGCGAGGGTGGGGCAGCGAGGGTGGGGCAACGGGGGTGGGTG